ACAGCATCCTGAATTTCATTACCATCTTCACTAAAATTGGTATTCCAATTATCATCAATTTTGATTGCGGTAAGAATTTCACTTTGGTTTTGTTCTTGTAGGTGGCTATCCCACCAAGATTTGAGAGAGCCAGTGAAGCCACTACCAACAAGTGTGCTTGCTTGGTCTGTTGAACTATGTTTAGTCCTATAGGCATTACTGACCATAGTCATTGTTTTAAGACCATAATAATATTATAATCAGACATGCCATCTATGTACCATCATAGATAGAATTGGATTGTATTTTCTTTGTTGTATTTGAGAGGATTCTTCCAAAACTAAATCTGGGGCTGAAGCTCTTGGATATACATTTTGGAGGTTTTTTCCAATTCATGTGTTGATTTGAATAGAATTATCACTTGAGGAAGTATTTTGATCATCAGTTTCTGATGATTCTGATGAATCTGTTTTACCAATAAAATTTATATGTTTAGAAGTTTGGGGGGTGTCTGGTGTGCGACAACACCAGAGAATTCTTCTTTTATCTGGTTGAGTTTTCTATTTATTTCTTGCATAAATTCTTCTTTGTTGGTTAAAGTTTTAGTGGTTTTGGAGGGATTTCATGTGGAATAAATAAGGGTTTGTTATCAACATTTTTAGTGCTTTTGACCTTTCGTCAATAGGTTTTAGGACGGTTTTGCTACAACATCTTCAACTCTATTCAATTGTTCGCTAATAGTATTCAAACATTGGTTTGCATAATTATTTTGTTGATAAATATTTTTTATATCATTCCTGTATTTTTCATTTAAATTTTCTTTGACTTTAAAAGGTGAAGCCTTAATTTCTACTCCTTTATAGGGAATCTTTACTTCTGTTAAAGGTGGATGAATTGACTCTATCCTTCATTATCTTTTCCTCTTGCGATTTTCCACTGTTTTGTTTTATTTGACATTGATTGTTTTTTCATTATCAAACCATTGGAAGAAAGGTATAAGAATTTGGTGTGTTTTCATAGAGTTGTAATAATTTTGTTGAATTAGATCTCTTTCTTTTTATTAAAGTTTTGAAGATATTTCTCTTAATTCTTGATTATCTTTTGAATAAAAATCATTTCTAAGAAGTTTTTGTCAATATAAAATTTTCATAATGTTTAACTCTGGCAAATCTGTCATTTGGGAATAGTTGGAGACATTCTTTGTGATGTCTCTTCCCCATCTTGTTGGGAGGGTGTTTGAACTGAATAATAGGTTGTGGCATTTTGAGAATTATCAATTCCTTGAATATTGTTTTAACCTAGGCTAGGTCTAAGGGGTATCTTAACACAAAAAATCTTCTTTGTTCAGAGGATCTTTGGGATGTAATCGGGATGAGGATAAGTGTGAGTCATCAAACTTATTATTGGAGGCCTACTAAACCTAATCTGAACGCTTCCATCAGATTTTTAGTTATTTTTCAGTTTCTGTATTTTGGATTGGTTGTTAAAGGTTTGGGAATTCTCATTTCTAAAGGATAATTGCGTTAGCTAATCCCCAATCCTCTGGTAAAGTTATTTGATCCCAATTGATTGTTTTAGGAACTGTTATGTTTGATCTTGTTAAGTAAGTTTGAAATAACACTGTGTGGCCTTTTGGTCATGATTAATGGCTCTAGTTTCAAAAGCTGATTGCATTACTTTATATTGGATCCTATAAATGGCTGCTATAGGGATGGTTCTCGATTTAAGTCATAATTAAACATTTTAATATTTAAAGTTAAACGTCTAGTATATTATGGTCATCTAACAGACTATGAAATCAAGATAACATTGAAATAATTGGTCCATCAGACAGGCTGGATTCTATTGTTCCTAATAGAGAATCTCTAAATCTTAGCCATCTACAATCTCTTAAACACAAAGATGGCAGTGTCTAAGCCTTCAATGCTTAGAGGTTTGATTCCTATTTGGACAAGTCCTATATAAGATAATTATAACTCTTTTTTGTATTTTTTAACCATTTCCTTGATAATAATTGAGTGATTTGAAGAGAATTGTTTATCTTAAGAGTTTTTTCTTCTGTTTTAATTATGCATTTTGATTTGTTTAAAGGGTTAACTCTGTTGAACTTGATAATTTTCCTTCTTTGTAAACATCTGTTACAGAAATTTTGGGAATGTTCCATTTATCAAAATGTTTTTGTAAATCTTGAGGTCTTATCACCTGTTTATCTTTTTGTGTACAAGCATGACTTGTTTCAATTATGTTGTCATTTTGATTTATACAAATCTCTTCTTGATGAACAATCTGTTTATCTCTAGTATTTGAACTGGAAGTAGACATTGATCTAGAAAAGTTTTCCATTTTGTATATCACCTATTTCTTCCCTACAATGGTTATCTAAGGGACATACAACGGAAAAATCCTATAGCCCTACACAACCCAAAAGATTTGGTACTCAAAATATTAATAAACAAATTTTACAATCCTAATCCCTGCCTCCTCCCTAGCTCTGATACCAGAGGGAACAAGAGCGTTGCACACAAAGAGAGATATGCATAGATTAATAAAAATTAATAACTTAAAATAACTTAATTTAAATAATCTTACAACTTAAGAAGACAACGGCGCAAGCCGCATAGAAATCATATAGAAGTGAGATTAACACTTAACTAGGTAACGGCGGCAGTGCCACACTGAAACCAAATTAAGTGATGAACAAAAATTTAAAGAAACAAAAACACAAATAAAACTTAAATAATATTACAAATAAAAACTTAAATAAACATTAAAATCAAACATGATGAATGATTAATAAAAGAACTAGAACTTGAAAGATTAAAAAAGAATAATCAAAGAACTTGAAAGATTAAACATTGAATATTGTTGAAAAAATTTAACTTACATGAAAGCTTTCTTTTTGGAGAGCTTTTTGGAAGTTTACATCAAAGAAAGTGAAAGAGAAAGTTTAGAATTGGCTTGGCAAAAGCTTGGTTCACATTGCACGGGTCCCCCTAATTTATAGAAACCTTATCTCACTATAGCATCACACGATAACTATTTGAGTGAATATTTTATTCTTTTTTTTTTTTTTTTTTAAATTAAACATTAAAGGTCTCTCTTGCAGGAATCTCTGACTCTTCAATATTATGCCAGATATTCTCTGAAGTTGATGTCGGTTTTTTGGCTATCTTCTTTTGAGAGAAGCGTAATTTCGAACTGTTTGGAATAAGTTAGATATTCCATAACAGTCATCTTCATTGCTCTGGGCGAGATTGATGAGGCACTAGAGCTTCGGTAAGATTCTTCTCCATCTTCTTCTTCTGCTTCTCTTCTTCATCTTGAGTTGTGAAAGAATAGTCTTGAGGTGTCTTTAGTTCTTGTTTTGTCTGGCTCCTGCTAAGGATACGGCGCCACAATCTTTTTCTATAAAAAATTGGCAATTTCAGGGGTAATTGCCTGAGTTTGATGAGGTGAACTTGAGAGACAAAGTTGGATTTTTTCTTTGGACATGTGGGATGCATCAATTTCCCACCACTTGACTTTAAATTTCCAGATCAAATTAGGGATATTGCTAATATTTTGGACATTTTCATATTCCCATTATAAAATCCACGAGAGGTGGAACTTTGCTGAGAAATGAAGTGATGGAGGGAAGTTTGAATCTGCTTTGGAAACTTTGAACTTGAGCTTGAACTCATTGAATCCTTCATGGACAATTGGGGGTATGATTTCAGGAATTAATCCAAAATGATCCCACCACTAGGAAAACCAATTGGATATTTGAATAAAGTGTTCCTTTTGAAGTAAATCATCCAGGAGTGCCTGTGATGACTATTTTGGAGAAGAGTGATCTGTTCCAGGCTCTTTGATAGTCCAGTAATTATATCCAGGCGGGTCAAAATTTTGGAAAAAAAAATTGAATTGGTTTGGGTTGGATCCCCAATCAGAAGGACAAGGATTTTCATAATATAAGGTTGAATGAGTATAAATCCCGGTTGGTTTTTATCCTCATAGTGTTTAAACTCACAAGATTCAGAATCAACAAGAAGAAATTCATAAAAAATTTAGTTTTCCTTAAATCTTCAGGGATAAAATGAAAATTTTTTGGAAAATTTTGTTGAACTAATGTGTTAGGGTTTTCAAAATCATAACCTTCTTCGAAAACCAAAGATTAGTTGCAATTCCTTTTTGAATATTTTTTGTCCTGGTTTAAGGGTTTTAATGGTGTAGCTGCAGGAACAAGTTCCTTGTTTTTTGAAAGAGCAATTTGAGCTACCTTTTGCAATGCTTATGAAAATTTTTCATATTGGGAAATTCTTGGGAATTTTTGGAAGAGTTTGAGGTTCTTTAATTTTCAAATCTCATTTTTTGTAAAGTTGGTGTTAACCCATCATAGTTAAGGCTGCTTCTGGACTTTGTTGAAAAGAGCTGATCCATTGGATTTGCCTGTATTTGTTAGACTCTGAGAAGAGTTTGTTGAGGCTTTGCCTTTTCCTTTTGATTGTTGCCCTCTCTTGGCTTCTTCTTCACATATGAGTTCATACCATGATTTGGTGTTTGTGGGCTTTTGGCATAAGAAGCCTTTGATTGTTTTTGAGTGATTGGAGGGTTGGCTTTTTGGGAGGCATGATGGTTATCTCCCCTGAAGGAACTCCCTGGTGAGGAAGTCAAGCAGGAATCAGCTTCTCCTTTGATGTATTCAATGTCAAAATCAAACACACATAAAATTGCACACAAATGTTTTTTCCATATATATATATATATATTTATATATATATATATATATATATATATATATCCCAAAGTTCTCTTCATTGTGATACACAGGTTCTGTGTTTTACTTGCCTGAGTGCATGTAAAACATGTTACACACACTGGGAGACAAAGGGAACATGCATTTATCACCTCTCAGCCGGAAGGCCTTAACTTTGCCTTTATTAATTCTCAATCTTTGCACTTTATGTTAATAGCAAACGAACGATACCACTTATTAAGAAGGAATACAAGAGAGTGCATAAAACAAGGCACCAATTCATCACCACCTCTCACAGTATCACACACAACACTTCTTCCTCGTCCTCAAAGTGAGAGAGATATGGGTAAGTCTTTGCATGTCAGGAAGAAGAGGAATCTCTTGAGAATTCCATGAGAAACGGACAGACCTTATAAAGCAGCTTCCAAAAGGAACTGGCAAATCTTCAAGGCTTCTATGAAAGCCATCCTGAAGCCTTGTTCTATCCTATGACGATCGAAAGACACTGCATTTCACATTGCGCATCGCAGGGAGACACAAATCTGATTCGAGAATTGCTTGGAATGATCGGCGAGCCCTCCAAGATACGTGAGGTCTTGACGCAATTAACGGACGAGCATGGAAACACTGTACTGCACGAAGTGGCGGCCATTGGCATGTTAGAGCACAGCTTTTATGGTGAGCAAACTCCGGGAGTCTTGTGAGGGGACCGGGAACTGGAACATCACTCAAGGTTAAAAACAAATTAGGTGAGACCCGCTGTATAGGGCTGCTGCACTTGGCAACAAGAAGGCGCAATATTTGGCCAGTGAAATTAAAAAGTTGGTGGCAATATTCGTGGTCACTTCTACAGATTGATCAGATAACTATCCTTCATTTGCTGTCTTGGGCCAACACTTTGGTATCCTCTCTTATTTATTATGTTCTTTACATTATATAATATATCAACTACAAATGTTAATTAAATATATTAGTAATATTTGGTAGATGTTTATAAAGAGGTGGGAATTTATGAAAAAATATATTTTCAGTCCCTTTCATATAATTCTATACTTTAGGTCAGGTACTTAGTAGAATTAAATATTTCATTGTATAGAACATTAATACATCTACGCTACTAATTAAAAGAAGAAAGAGAAAAAAAAAAAAAAAAAAGAGAGGAATCTAATTTGGTATTCTTTGCAACCTTAGATGGATCAAAATCTCTCTGTCTAAGAATATAAATTGAACTCAAAACTTTTATACTAATGAAGTCATCAACATACTATAAATTGGGAATGTTGCTGAGTGGTGTTCTTGTCCTTGGGAATGTCGTGGATTGTTTTTCTTTTGGCAGACTTCTTGTTGTTCTCCTTGGACCTGCTGTTTAGTAGTCCGGTCTGCTTTTTTAGGCCTCTCCGGATTACTTGCTGTATTGAGGATTGTACTAAATCCTTGTCTTTTGCTGTCTTCTTTTTGCTGGGTTCTTGGGAATGTCGAAAGACTCGTGGTCTCTTGTAGAGACTTAGCTCATTTGTCTGGTTTTTAGAATAGTATCTATTCTCAGTATGATTTAATCAATTATAACAATTTTGAGAATGTATTTGTATATTTTTTAAAAATTATTTTGATAGTTTTTTAATCCTTATATTTGTTAATTTAACTAAACACTTATATATTAAAAATTATAAATTAACAAAATCACTCTTACCCATCTAACTATTACTGACGTCGACCCTCACCGCTAGACGGTGGTGAAGTCACTTTCGTATGTCGTTTCGGTAACTTTCAGCCACCATCTACGGTGATGGCTGGTTGCCAACAATAGTTAAATGTAAGTGTTTTTGTTAATTCATAAACTTTTATTAAAAAAAAATTTGTTGAATGTTTTGAGTTGAATAGAATTATTGTATTTTGAATTGAATAGTTAGTATTAAATAAATATGTATTTCATGGATGAATAGAATAGTAGGATAATATGATAGGATTCGAAAAGTTAAACAAAAAGGGGGTTACCTTTTGGGGTCTCATTCTTTCTTTGTTTTTAATATATTACCTTTTACCCAAAAAAAACATAACTATAAATTTATTAGATTAAATTGATACTATTTTAATTTAACTTTTAGTTTTTAATTTTGGGAACCACCACAAAGAAGTTATTATGAGAAGGAAAACACACTCCCCTTAAAATCATTGACATTCTTTACCAACCATTATATATTTGTTTGATTTACTTCTTTCTAGCTTGTATTTAGGAACATGCATGCCTTTAATTGTTCTATTTTTTTAGTTGATATAAAAGATGTAGAAATAGCTATGTAAGGTGCATGTTTAGAAGCAACTAGATTAACTGATAAACTCCTATGTGGCTTACATACAGAAACCGCTTTTTGGTTACTGAAAAAGGCCAGGGAGCTTGGACAAGCTAAGGAAATGAATGGCCTGACATGTCTTCACCTACTAGCTTTAATGCCGTCTGCTTTCCCGAGCACCAGCCGAATGGGCAGATTAAAGAAATTCATCTATTCTTGTATGTCTTCTTACTAATCAAAACTTATAGGCTTCATAGATACATTGTTGGATAGCTATCAAAACACGTTTAATGTAGATTATATTTCTTTTTGAAAAGGCCTTCCAAGTATCCCAGAAGATGAAGATGACGAGGATGAAGATGAACTTGGATCAAAGAACCAAATAGGTAATGTGCTTCGTTTAGATGTTGCCATGAATTTTAGTGCATGCTACAGGTACAAACAGGTAATAATATATACATATTTGCAAAAATAGGCGTCCTCATGAGTCTTTCTTTTTTATGCTTTAACACTTCCATTTATATAGTTCTGCATATAAAAGTGTTATGACTTAATGCAAAATTTATGCAGCAATTTCAAGGATGTTTACTGCCATTTGGAAAAGAATCACTGAAGGTATGACCTCATCATAATCTCCTTTTTTGTATTTTTAGAGCTAAAATGCGGATATATTAGTTCCGTGATGTATAATACTTATTGAAACAAAAAATTTCTTTAGAGGTCAGTCTACCAAGTTGACCGGATGCATTTTATACCTATACCACTTAATGGAAATAGGGTTCGTATTCTAATAGCATAATTTATTATATCTCTAATGATCAGGCTTGGAATGGCCAAAAATGGAGGAAATTTGGAAGGAAAAGCGAAATCATGCATTTTCTAAAAGACTGGTCAAGTTGCTGGTGACGCAAGATGTTTCATGGAATGCTAGTTTCCTAGCACAAGACATCACGATTTCCATTGGATTAGGCCAAGGAAGGAAAGCCGAAGGCACCAGTGAAGTTATCCCTTTAGATAAGACGCTTTCATCTCCTGAAACTCCTCTAATCATGGCAGCTCGCACAGGAATAAAAGAGATTGTCTATGAAATACTCAAAGAATATCCTGAGGCTGTCGATCACGTTAGTGAAAATGAACAAAACATATTACATGTAGCAATCATGCACCGTAATGAGAAAATCTTCAACCTTATACAGAAAAAGGTAATAAATCTACACAGGTTTGCTTCAAAAATTGACCATAATGGCTACACCATATTGCACCATGTTGCAGATATGACATATTATCATGCAACCCGCCCTGGTCCTGCCTTTCAATTGCAAGAGGAATTGGAATGGTCCAAGGTGAGCCTCTACTAGTTTCTATTGTTTCCATTTATTTACTAAATAATTTGTGTTGTAACGGCACCTTGAATTTGTACTGTTCAGCGTGTGAAAGAAATAATGCCTAATCATTATGATATTCACCGCAACAAGAACAACATGACGGCGGAAAAGCTCTTTGAAGAAAAACACAAAGAAAAACTAAATGACGCAAAGAAATGGGTAAAGAAAGTCGCCAGCTCATGCTCTGTTGTTGCGGTTCTCGTCGCCTCTGTTGTTTTTGCGGCTGCTTACACGGTTCCTGGAGGTACTAATAAGCGAGGACTTCCAAATTTTCTCGACTCTTCTCTCTTCTTAGTGTTCACTATCATGGACGTGATCTCTTTAGCCAGCTCTTTCACTTCGCTAGTGATGTTCCTCTCAATCCTGACCTCCCCTCTCAAGATGAAAGATTTCCGTGTCACTCTTCCTCAGATACTGACCATTGGCTTCACCTTCCTCTTTATTTCCGTGATAACAACTATGATTACTTTCGCAGTCTCCCTTTTCCTTATCCTTCGTCATATGGACAAGCGATGGACTTTAAGTCTCGTTTTCATATCTTCTTTGATTCCGGTGCTGGTATTTGCAGCGATGCATTTTCGTTTGTATGCCCAGTTTATGGAAACTCTGAAAGAAAACTTCAAGGAAAATGTTTTAAAGAATCTTTACCGGAAGAAGAATAAGAAGACGAATTGAGATATGTTTGGGAGCTACAGCTAAAATCCTATGTATCTTTCTATTATTTTTTGTTTAATAATGTGTTTGTGTAAAAGTTTGTTATACAATGATGTGGCTGGATTTGATGAATTGGTGTGATTAATAAGAAACTTTTATAATATATATTGAGTAAATGTTTTGTATAAAAATTTATGATACAAACTCATCGTACAAACTAAAATTCATACAAATTAATGCCGTGACAAATATTCCATATTAATTTGTTTCAATTTCCGATCCTATCGTAATATACATAAATTTGTGCGAATCAATTTGTTTAGGAGTTCGCATATAGTATTTATAATTATTAATCTACTAACCCGTTCTCACGTAATCACATAATGTAAACTGTACTTAGTCTCTCCTGGAGATGCTTATATGTGAAATGAAAACTTAAGGTATATAATATTATTCATTAGTAGTGATATTATATTTTGGTTAATTTAGCAAGATATACCAATTCTAGTTCTAAATAGATCTTATAGTCCAGAAGAGAAGCTTGATCACCACCTTTGCTTTACTTATGGGTTTGTGTTTACTATCCCACAGACATGGAGAATAAATTATAATGCTTTTACCACAGAATGTGACAGTTAGCTATCTTTAATATATTCTTGTTACTATAAATTAATTACTAATGATCTTTATCTTTATTAAATTTCTATTATAATAAAGTGCCAATGACCTTTACCTTTATTATATTCCTAGTAGCAATGAGCTTTATCATTTCTTTAAGCAAAGTACGATACGTCTTCATTTACAAGGATAAAACTAGTCCTTATAAAGCTTTGGAAACTCAAGAACACACAACAATTGTTATCTTCCAAACCAGTAGGAGTTAAAACAAGCGAGATAGAGAGAGATGGGAAAAGATTTAGAGATCAAGGGCGATGAAGAAGTTCCAGCTTGGCAATCCATTGCAAGAATGAAACAGCCTTATCAAACAGCCTCACTGAATGACTGGGAAGCTTCAAGGAATTCTATGAAAGCAATCCTGACAGCTTGTTCCATCCTTTAACCATCAATAAAGATTATGCATTTCACATTGCAGCATCCACAGGCACAAGCAACTGCTTCGAGATTTGTTTGAATGATTCCAACCTCCAGGATACAGGAGGCCTTGACGCATCTAAAAGACGAATATGGAAACATTGCTCTGCACGAAGTGGCCACCAGTGACAATGTTGATGCTGCGGAATCTTGGTTAAAATGCTCCGGAAGTCATAGATGAAACAACAATCATTGAAGATCATGAAACTGATCGCTCACGCAAACTGGATCAGTTTCTCAAGGTTAAGAACAATTTAGGCGAGACCCCGCTGTACAGGGCAGCTGCACTTGGTAATGCGAAATGGTGAAATATTTGGCTGGTGAAATTGAAGTTGGGGAAACTATAACTAACCAGTCACTTCTCTAGATATGATACCATCTCCATTTTCATATTGCTGTCTCCCAAACATTTTGGTACCCTCTTCTTATCTCTCTCTTCGATTTTTTTATAGCTTATTGCAATTCAAATCGGAAAACCGAAATATGTGGGCTCTTTATTGTTTAAAAAAAATTGTTTAATAATATATGCTTAACTTATGTTTTTCATCACCCTTTTTAAAAAAAAAATTATGTTATACTTATTGTTAGAATGAGTAATGTTAGATGCACACTCAGTTTACAACATTTTCTTAAAATCTAGATGTGATAGTTCGTCTTTTATGGTTTCGTCTATCCATTTACGAGCTGACCAATAACGAATTATCATGTCAAAAGTTGTAAAATTGGATTGTAGATTTAGCATTACTGTTTAGGAATTTGCTATCCATAGTTTCCTCGTACATTTGATTTCATACTATATAGACTTGCATGTACATTATATCTACATACACTTTTAATATAACTTTCATTCACATTGACAATAGGTATCTATACCCATTAATAAAGTAGAAACATATATATTATATAATATATATATAATATCTTCAAAAACTAGCTAGTATTACTTCAAAATGAATGGAGAACAGTCATAACTCTTTCATGCATGCTGTAATCACAGACATCGCCATTTGGTTACTAAAAATGCACAAACAACTTGGAGAAGAAAGGACATGAATGGCCTGACAGGTTTTCACATGCTAGCTTTAATGCCATCAGCTTTCAGAAGTAAAAGCCACATGAGCATACTAAAAAAACTCATCTATTATTGTAAGTCTTCATACTATAGTTTGTGGCACTATATATATATATTTATTTACTGCCAGCATTACTATTTTTTATCTCAAAACACAGATTAATTTTAGATTCCGTTTCATTTAATTTCAGGTCTTCCGAATGATTATGACGCCGACGAAGCTCTAGCTGAGCTTCCATCAAGTCAGAGAGAGGATGTGGAAACTGGGATGAGAAACAACATCCCAGTTTACACAATTGAACAACCAAAGAAACGTGGAGTAATTGATGAGTCAAGTTCTTCATAAGTGAAGGTATACTTCCACATATTACACAATTCAACAAATCTTTCTGACCAAGTTACAAAATATGCAGCAATTTCTCGGATGTACTCACTATTGTAGTTGCCTGAAAGGTTGAACAAATTCCCTACACATTATTCACTTTATATTTTGTTGTACTTAATTTATTGCCATCAATTACGACAATAATTGCATAATTTTTCTTTATTTTCATGCACAGGATGGGCAGCCATCGATACATCGGAAGGAAAAGAATAAGCATGAATCGGCTCTCGGCTGGTAAGTTGCTAGCCAAACAAGATTTTTCGTGGAAATATAGTTACAAAGCAGAAGAAAGAGCACCATTTCTTTAGGACTAGGCAAAGGAGCGAGAAGGGGCTCAAAATTCTAAGAAGGAAGCAAGCACAACGTCGAGAAGTCAGAAACATTACTTGAAATCCACTACTCTTGGCAGCTCGTGAAGGGAAGAAGAGATTGTTAATGAGATACCAATGAATATCCTCAGGCAGTTGATTATGTTAGTGACAATGGACACACGTACTACATCTTGCAATATTGCACCGTCAAGATAAATATTTGAACGCCTAAAGAAAATGGAAATGTCAGTGCAAAAATTGGCTTCAAAGATTGACAATAATGGCACACTATATTACACCAAGTTGCAGAAACAAAACATTACGAAGGAGGAAAGCGCCCTGGTCCTGCATTCCAATTTCAGGAGGAGTTGATGTGGTACCGGTAGCCCTCTAGTCTCAAGTTTATTTTTTTTTTATATTAGTCTTTTTTCTTATCAATTTCTTGATTTTCTAAAAATCCGAACTGAAATTTTAAAAATTATATAATATTTCAAGGCAATTCTTCTATACCCTTATACATTATGTTATAATGTATTGTCTCTATGCACTGCAGAATGTACAAATTGATGCCGCCGCATTATGTCATGCACCGGAACAAGGACAAAATACTGCAGAAGACCTCTTCGAAAATAACCACAAGATCAACATAAGGAAGCAAAAGATTGGATACAAGAAACCTCGGAGTCATGCTCTACGTTGCGGTTCTGTGCCACTGTCGTCTTGCGGCAGCCTACACCGTGCCTGGCGGTTCTAATGAACAGGGTCTTCCCATTTCCTCCACTCTCCTCTCTTTCTGCTTTTCACTGTCATGGACTGGTGGCCTTAGCCAGCTCCTTGACCTCGGTTGTGATGTTCCTCTCTATTCTCACATCACCACATGAGCAAGAAGATTACCTTTACTCTCTTCCAAGAAAGCTGACTTTTGGATTTACATTGCTCTTCATATCGGTCATCAGTACCATGATAACTTTCACGGCTTCCCTTTTGCTCTCATTCGTTTGAAGAAGCGAATGACTTCAGTGCTCATTTACCAGCTGCATTTATCCGATCGCAGTATTTGCAATCTTGCAGTGTCCGTATGTTGTGTTTCTTGGTATTATGCAGGACTTTTTCAAGGAATTTCAGAGGCTCTTCCTGGGAAGAGGAGAAGAAAATTGTATTTTATTCTGTAGCTTTATGTATCTGAATTTCCTTTTTATATTAATGGTGTGTGTAATCTAAAAGTATGCTATCGCCACACTGATGCATGTGTTGGTTGATTTTGCGAGAGAAATAAGGTGTTTTTTTTAAATATTGAGTTGAGACAAGATGCAGTCATCTGTATTGTTAATTCAATCTCAACTCTATGTAGAAGATTAAAAAGGAGATTATATATACTTTATGCATAGAGTTGATGGTGTAAATTTATAGACTCTGGTAATGAATATTCCTCATCAAGTAAGAACTGAAAAAGGATATTAAACAATTAATAGAGTTAATTTGTAATCATAAATGTCCACTTATGGAACTTAATTGAAGTAGGAAACATTGAAGTGTAATACAATTGCTTATTAACTGTCTAAGTTTCTCGCAGGAACGGCTCTAGAGTTACAAGCATATACTGGCCTTTGAACTCGCCAAGAATTTAATACCAAAGATACTTCGTCGGATATAGTAGTATAGATGCGTTAATTACCTCATCTTTCAGAGTCAGTGAAACGCATGAATTAAGTACTCCAATCAAGAGTGGGGTATGACAAGTAGAATCTGGAGCTGAACAGAAAAAAGTTTCAAGAAGGAAAAGGAAGGTTCGACCTCATCAGATTCCGAGCTACTGGCTCTGGCTCTGCGCTCTGCCGTTCATGAAGAAAAAAGGCAGATAAAGCAGAGAAAAGAATCTGAGCCAGAAGAGTTAGAAGCTCCATTACTTGATGTAGGAACATTATTTTTATTTTTGAAGAATAAGCCTTCAAAGTGCTTTTTCTTCTCAATTTGCAACTCCCTTGTCAAATTCTCTGAAATTTCTCAATGACATGAGTACCACCAGGATGGATTACCATTGTCATTACTATACAAACGGTGGTACAGACAAAATTTCAATTCCCAAGTATGGCTCTGTACTTAACACATCGAAGTCGCCAACAAACTTAAAAATAATTCATGTGCCTCCTTTATGTCAATCCACTGCTTGTTGTCGAGATTGTGCTGTTCTGCATTTCGAAAATAATTTTATCATTGGCCTTGTGGGTTTTGCATTTGGTATCTTTTGACTAAATTTTAGTCATGGACTAATTTTATCATTAGCCATTTGACAAGAGTTCGTTCTGTCAAAGAGCA